TTTTTTTTTTTAAATGAAAACAAATTGTTATTTTTATTTAGGCCTATTGCTCACATAGGCTAAACATTTTCCTTAAAGCATCCCATTTTGTCCCAGGGCTTGAAAACCTGTGCCTAGGCTAGTTAGGTCCTGCAGAAATTTGTGAACGATGCTCTAGTTGTGGCATCACCGTTTAGTGACATCATTGAATGCTCCGGGAAAACATGTTGTCAGTGTCGGCCACAGCGCCTTTTAACTGCTGTTTTGAATCCAGCAATTATTTATTTACACATTATAAGCTCTGATTATGACAAGTGTGGTATAAAAGCTTTGTTTATTAGAGGAATAACTGGATAGCTGGAAAATGTTACATCGCGACCATGCTTTTGGATGCCGTTCGAGTCCATATAGCCTACATTCACGCGGCTTTGTTGGTTTGCCGGTTGGTCACGAATTTACACAAATTCAATAATATTTAGGCATTGTTTCTTTTCCTAAATCCTCACCGTCTAACCCTCTAATTTCGCAGGTTTATTTTATTGCCATTCACTTTTTATCACTGTTTTCGCATCTAAGGGAAATGAAAGATTTCATGGCCATGAATTAAGAATTCGTTCGATGTATTAATTTGTTCCCTCATTTTAGTTAAATCATGGGTTAAGGAACAAAATTAATGAAACATGGACAGTGGCCACAAATTAATAAGTCGTAGGAACGAATTAACAAGTTGTAGGAATGAATAGCCAATCTGTCCTGTGTCCCGCGGCCCTGCAAAGCGCAGAGCCCCATATGAAAGAATTATCTGGGGAAATGACTTAGTTACTACATTTCTATTGCTTTCCATGTTGAAGAACTTTGTGTTGTTTCTATTTTAATGTACTTTTAAAGTTTAAATCACATTAAAAGCTTAATTTGTACATTGTGAATGAATGATGATGCATTTATATACTGTCACTCACAGCCGCTCGCACGTGTTTTGCTCACGAGCCGCACACAGCCCAAAATTAAACTGCTTAATCGACCATCGATAGCTTTAATCGATTGCATCTCTTATCGACAATTAATCGATCATCAATTAATCGTTGACATCCCTAATTCAAGGTCAAGGTGATTCCTTGGCCTGAATTCTGAGGAGTCAAAAACAATGACAAACAGCACTCGTGTGATATCGCTTATCATGATATAAATATGAGGCAAAAACTCATACAGGAGCATTTTTGCCCCAATATCTTTAATTTTAGGGCATAACTGCATTTATGGAGTTGTAGCCCTGCATCATATTTGTCAACAGTCAACTGTATATGAAATGTAAGATGACGTACAGGTCTGGGGGCGGGGCCAGTGCGTTAACTGCGTTAAAATATTTTAATCGCGTTATTTTTTCATAACTAATTAATTAAGTTAACGCGTTAAACTGACAGCCCTAATTTGCATATTACAAATAATAAAAAATAAATAAATCCATATTAAGATAAAACAAAGTAAAGCGTTAGTTCACCCATAAACAAAAAATGTAAAAAAAAAAAAAAAAAAATCTTTCTAAAGCTACTTTTTGTAATATCTATTTCATGATTTTCTCCTGTAACATAATAATGGCTATAAACTATCGTTTGGGGGTAATTTCTCAGCTAAATTTGAGGTGCGATTAGTTGCCACATCGTGTAATTAATTAGATACAAAATTTTAATCAACTGCCAGCCCTGGTGTACTTGCATTCAGTTAAGTATGTGTGCTCGCACACTTGCATTAAGTATATTTAACCAAAATAATAGCAATTTCACCACAGTGTTGTTCTTTGTTTGTGTATGTGTGTTAACTGACCTTCTGCCACAGGTAGGCCTCTTTGAGAGTGATAATCTCATGTTCTCTGTGCTCTCCCTGCACAGCGCACAGCACACAAATGATCCGCTGGTCGTGTTTACAGTAGAGCGAACCCTCTTGGCCATGCTCCTTACATTTTAGCCTCTCCACTGTCACAGTGTCTCTTTTCGCTGGTTTATGCTCATCATTACTGGTGGCCTCCGCCCCCTCTGCTGCATTTTCAGACACCTGACAGTCTTTCGGTGGCCCATGCTCTGCCTGAGGGTCTGGGGAGCTGTACGGCTGGAGTTGGTGACCAGTGCTTTGTGAATGTTTGTCTGCATGGCTGGAGCAGAAGGCAAAGCGACAGAGTGTGCACATCCAAACAGCTGACTGAGGCTCGTCCGGTTCACACGCATCACACGTGCCATCCATCTGTGGCCAATCATCCTCAATAAAGCAGCTGTCCCAGCATCCTCTTGATGCATCCATGGTGGTGGAGGATGGGGATGATAGTGAGAAGCCTAAAAGAGGACAAAGGACAATGCAATAAAATAAGTTGCAGCAACAATAGTAAGTGAATGGTTCAGTCAACTGTAAATGTAGCAACTGTGCTACATTTCTGTGCTTCAATATTTCTGAGGCAGAGCTTCAATGGGTGTCATTGGTCAAATAAGAATACAAAGGTTTTGGAGCATCTGTGACTCGTGCTGGCAAAATGAGTCGAAATGTGCACTGAGCATTTTGAGCTACAGCCAAAAGAAGTGAAAAATTTCAGTTTTGGTCGAATTTGAGGTTTTCACAAAAACAAGTTCATTAAGCCCTCTTCTAGCGATCCCAGTGCTCCAAATAGTAATTAAACATCCAAAATGATCTTTATTTGTACGTTTTCTGAGAGGAGTACCTTTCTCTGCTCACTTCTGGATGACTGCTGCTGCTTCTCACCACAAAGCGCACCAGCTTTGTGAATATTTATATTGAATTCTCGATGACATGAGTCCAAACCAGTGAAATATGATTTTCTGACCCATGCTAATGAAAACAAAACGATTGCGCTGACTGACATTTGTAAAGCGCGTGCATAAGACGCCCCTCTCCGTGAGCACGCGATCTCCCATATGAAGTACATTATTGCGAAATATGTCTTGGCGAGATTCACACAAACATAATCTGTTATGTCTTACATTCTTACATAAATGTTTAGTTACTGGCCATTCATAACTTCTACTAGCCAAAAAAATTTTTAAAAAATAAATAAACCAACAGCTTGAGGCTGTCTACACGGGACGTGACAAAGCGACCATTGCAAATCATTTTGTGTCAGTACTAGATGTGTGCGATATTGACAAAAAAATTATATATCAATATTTTCTGGAATTTTATCAATAAAGATAAGTAGATGATATTTTGCCGAGTGTGTTATTGTGCTGATATCTTAAGGACTACTGTGGACAGCTGAGCTGACTCCTAAAAGTTTTGATATTCTTCATATTCTGTGTGGTCAGTTCACAGCAGTGATAGAAATTAATCTTTTCCAATAAGTTTAAACAGATTTTTACCTTTTATGGACATTTTTACCTTTTATGGGCCTTTTTTTCCCTAAAAGAATAATATTTTGAGTCAAATTCTTACATTTAATCAGTCAATTATAATAATAATACATTTAGGCTGTTACTAAACAAATGAAATCAGTATCA